AGGGCTCCACAAGCCCCGGCAAGCAGCCAGTGACTCATTCCATTGTCAGCCCCTGGGAGCTGCCTTGGACAGGAGAGTGAGCTGCCACAGGGGCTGGGGGAGGCAGAGTCAAACCCACCAGCTGGGGATGAGCCCTGGGAGCTCCAAACCTCTCCCACAACACCTTCAGGACCTGGGGCAGGGATGTGGAACTGGGGGAACTGGAAGGTCAAAGACAACCCCTGTGTCCTGTTGGCAGGAACAGATGGATAAATCTGTCCAGGTAATCCTGGGGATTGTGGCCTCCAGGAGTCAGGGAGAGGCAGTTCTGGGCTGGAGCAGAAAAGAGGAATCCTGGGGATTGTGGCATCCAGGAGTCAGGGAGAGGCAGTTCTGGGCTGGAGCTGAGTCCAGAAGGAGCAGTGGAGCTGCAGGGGGCCCCTGCTCCTGGCTAATTCCAAATCCAGAGCTGATTTGTGCCTGTGTAACCCAGGGTTCCTTGAGTGTTTTGGCTGAGGCTGGAGCAGCTCCAAGCCTCTCGATCTTCCAGGAGTTGAAATAACATGAAAACATTTTTCCCAAAAAACCCTCCAAGGGGCTGTAGCAGCTCACACCAGGGATCAGCCCAGAGTGACCTCCAGGAGCTTTGATGGAAAACCTCCATTGCCTTCAGGGGCTTCACATCAGCCTTTGCTGAGCAGGAGCAGCTCAGAAATCATGGAATTGGAATATCCTGAAAGCTGGGGAGGTGCAGCTCCCTTAAACCCTCATGTCCTCCCTTCCCACACTTTGAGAGTTGTCCTCACACCATGTACGGAGAGGGGAGAGGCCATCCCTGATTGCCACCTCCCTTCCAGCTCCATCCAGGGCTGAGGTGGCTCTTGGTGGTCCTGCAGAAGTGGGATCTACCCCAAAAATGTGGATCACCAAAATCACCATGGGACCCCCCCCACCCTCACATCTGGAGATGCTCCTCTGTCATTCCCTTCCCGCTCTGTGTCTCCAAGGATTTGGTATTTTTCACTCCATTTATGGCTCTGTTTTTGGGAAGGTTTCTGCTTGCTGCTGGAGCCTGGCTGTTCCCAGCTGCTCCTCTGGCAGCCCCTTGACCTTGGAGTTGGATGAGGCTGGTTTCCCTGACTCCCTTGGCCTTTGGGATTGTGGCATGATCCCGGTGATAAATTCCTGAGCTGGATTGCCTTTGAGGGAGCCTTTATCAGCTGCTGGAGGGAAGGAACTGCAAACACAGCCAGCAGGTCTGGGAGTGGGACTGCCTGGATGGAGATTCCCAGCTCCCCTGGTTCCTGGGAACTCATCATCTGCTCAGGGAGTTCCAATACAAGGGCAGGAAAGAGCACCGGGATAACCCTCCCCATCTCCTGGGCCAGCCATGGGCACAAACCCGGAGAATGAATGAAATTCCATGAATGATTTGGGAGCAGCACCTCATCCTGGAGTGCTGTGAACAGCCAGCTTGGGGCAGGATGGGGTCTGACATCCTTTGTCTGGCAGGGAACTGGGGCAGGAAAAGGGGAAATGCCTGGGGTGGATGATGTCAACCTTGGTCACCTTGGAGGTGTTTTCCAAGCCAAATAATCCACGAATGCCTCGAGGGCAACCCCTCACCCTGGAGTGCTCGGAGCCCATCCAGGGCCTCCCTGGGCCCAGCACATTCCCACGGATTCCATCTGGGACAGGCTTTGTTGTTTACAGCAGCAAACGTTGGGCACTTGAAAGGAAGAGTCCCGGGGCTTTCTTTGCTAATCCCGTTTTACAGAGAGTTCCAGGAGACGTGAGGAACAAACAGAAAATAACGTCGATGCAGGTCGGTATCAAACCCAAATGATCAGAGGATCAAATATTTACCCAGGTCAATATTTAACCAGGAGACAATAAATGCTGATATTGAACCAAATCTGGATATAAATACAGGCTATTTATAAAGTGAGCCTGCAAAGGGGCACTGCCAGGGCCGTGCCAGGGGGGTTGATTGATGATTATCCTGCCCATTGTTTGCTGATTCCCTTGGAGGCTGGAGTTTCGTGCAGGTGCACAGAGGGAAGGAGCCAGGGCTGGGTGGTGGCACGGCCGTTGTGCCACACCTGTGCCCAGGTCCCTCATCCTGGGACAGCCCCCCCTTCCTGCTGGAGCCACCTCCTGCTGCTGCCCCATTCCTTGAACCCCCAGGTCAGAGAATCATCCAGACAGGGACTGGTTTGTGCTGGGGGGACATTGGAGATCACCCAGCCTGACACCTTCCATTGTCCCAATGCTCCAAGTCCCAGTGTCCACCCTGGCCTTGGGCACTGCCAGGGATCCAGGGGCAGCCCCAGCTGCTCTGGGCATCCTGTGCCAGGGCCTGCCCACCCTCACAGGGAACAGTTTTTTCCCCAGTACCTAATGTAAACCTACTCCCTTTCAGTTTAAAGCCAAGTTTGGGTAGGAAGGGATTTTAAGATTCCTTGGGCAGGGACACCTCCCACCATCCCAAGCTGCTCCAAGCTCCAACCAACCTTGGGCACTGCCAGGGATCCAGGGGCAGCCTCAGCTGCTCTGGGCACCTGTGCCAGGGCCTGCCCACCCTGCCAGGGAACAATTCCCAATTCCCAGTATCCCATCCATCCCTGCCCTCTGGCAGTGGGAGCCATTCCCTGTGTCCTGTCCCTCCATCCCTTGTCCCCAGTCCCTCTGCAGCTCTCCTGGAGCCCCTTCAGGCCCTGGCAGGGGCTCTGAGCTCTCCCTGGAGCTTCTCCTGTCCAGGTGAGCACCCCCAGCTCTCCCAGCCTGGCTCCAGCCCTGGAGCAGATCCGTGGCCTCCTCTGGATTTCCTCCAGCAGTTCCACATCCCTCTGATGCTGGGCCTCAGGGCTGGATGCTCTTGCCTGCCCAGCATGGACACAGGTGACATTTTTCTTACCCCCTGTCCCCAGAGCTCTTTGCAGCCCCCCACGCTGGGGTGTGGCTGTGAGCAGGAGCCTGGATCCAGCTGAGAGGGAATCTCCCACCTGGGAGAAGGGCTGGGAGCTCTGCCCAGGCAGGAATGGGCACAGGGCTGGTGAAACACCCCCAGGTCCCCCCCTGTGCCACCCTCAGAGCTCTGGTGCCTGTTTAGCAAACACTGATTTCCCTCCTGGTCCCCTGGCGCTCCCGGGAGGTGACAACACTTGATGTTCCTCTGGGGCCGTTTGTCATTTATCACCTGCAGATTAGGAGGTGTTTAATCAGGGGACAGCCAGTCCCACCCCAGCCCCAGCCCAGCTCTCCGTGCTCGTGGTTAATCCGGGTTTATCTGGGGCCTGCCAAGAAATGTTTGTGTTGGACTCTGCTTGAATCGATCTCTGTGCTGATAACAGCTCCCCCAGGCTGGGACATCTGATCCAGGCATAAATCCCAGGCTCCTGCAGGATTTATGGGAACTGCCAGGGCTGGAGGGGCTCATGTCCACCCCTATGAACCACTGGAAAATCCTGCTCCTCCAAAATCCCCTCTGGAGAGGTGGGATGCCATTGCTCTCTTCAGTGAGCCACTGGTTTTACTGGGCCTGGGGGATTCACACCCTCCAGCTCTCCCAGGGGCTGCTCCTGAGGTTATCCCATCCTCCCCAGGGAATTTTGGTCACCAGGTTTGGGTGTGCTGTCCAGAGACACAAACTGGTGTCCTGTGGCCTTTCTGGAGTGGACAAAGTGCTGCTTTGTGCCTTCTCCTTGTTTTTAATTTGGTTTTCTTTCTCTGCCAAGTTGAGGAGATGATTCTCCAGGGTTAAACTTTGGTGACTTTTGGGGGAAAATCCCCCCAGAATTCAGTGCTTTGGCCATGAGAGGAGTTTCTTGTTGGCTTTCCCTTCCTGGATAGCTGCAAATCAAAGAGGGTGGGTTTGGGTGGGATTTTGGGAAGGAATTCCTGGCTGGGAGGGTGGGCAGGCCCTGGCACAGGCTCCCAGATCCCTGGAAGTGTCCAAGGCCAGGCTGGACAGGGCTTGAGGAATGGGATGAGCTTTGAGGTCCCTCCCAGCTCAAGCCATGGTGGCACTCTGAAGGATCCCAGTCCCTCTGGTCTCCCAGCAGGTCTGTTGGTGTTTCCCCTTTCCCTGAGCTGCTGATCCCTGACTCCTGGTGGCTGCTGGAGCCGTGGCCATGCAGTCAGGGTTGTCTGGTGCCTCCTGCCCCCATCCTGGTCCCCAGGGATGGCCTGGCCATGACTGTGAGGGAAACTGGACCCGTGACCCCACTGAAAACCTGCTGGCTCTTCATCTGCAAGGCTCTGAGGCCTTTCCCCATGAGTCCACATCACTGTTGGGATGAGCTGAGCACCCTGTGTGTGGGATAAATTCAGTCCTGCCCAAAAAGAGCCAGGAAATGGCTCCTTCCTGCAGGGGGGCTGGGCTGAGCATCCCAGGTCACTGCTGTCCCATGGGAGGGGACAGGCAGGGGGGTCCAGCTCTGAGATCTGAAACTCTCCTGGCAGTGAGCAGGAGAATGGTGTGAGAGGGAGGCAACAGGAGCCTGGCAAATACTGGTTTGGGATCTGGAGGAATCCCAGATCTCTTCCCCTCTTCTTGGTGCTGGAGGGCTGTGGCCTGTTTGGGACACTGACCTTGGAGAAAGGATCTGGGTCTGAGGGATCTGGGAAGAGCCCTCAGCCCTCTGTGGGAATCTGGGAGAGGCAGAGGCAGGAGGAGGGAGAGGTGCAGGACATTTGTGAGCTCACTGTCATCTGTGTGGGGGTGATAAAGCGATTTAAGGTTCCGTGCCTCAGTCTCCTTGGGGAGCTCAGTACTTCCCATTTGTCTCTTCTTCCCAAAGAGGTTTCCCTGTTCCTCCTTGGACAGGCTCCAACCATGGTGGGCAACCACCAGCTGCTTCCATGGTGTGGGGTGGGAGGAGGCACCACTGGCATGGGGGACACCTGGAGACCTGGGGGGCTCTGGGGGTGCTGCTTTCCTTGGCCAGGGGAATTTGGGGGGTCTTTGGGGTGGCCAAGGCAAGGAGGACACCCCACTAACCCAGCCCTGCCTCCCACAGCTGCACCCCATGAGGATGGACCAGCGGATGCCACCGCTCATCCTGGAGGTGAGCACCTTCCCTCATTCCTTCCCCTGCATCCTCCTGCTCCTGCTGGGAAGAGGAAACACAGGAGCCCCCAAGAGACTGAGCTGGGACATTCCCTACTCCCCATTCCCACTCCCTCCTTCCATCCCCACTTCCAGCTGGGGCACATCCCTCCCTCTCTGCCAGTCCCCTGTGTGTGTCACTGTCACCTCCATGGCCTGTGAGTCCCCATGGGCTGTGGGACCCAGGAGTGACAACCAGGAGCACCTGAGTGCTTGAGTGGCACTTGGTCACCTCAGTTGTGCTGGTCTGAGCTGAGGAATTTGTAGGATCGTGGAATTGTTTAATTTGGAGAAGCCCTCTCAGACCATCGGGTCCAACCATTCCCCAGCACTGACCCATGTCCCCAAGTGTCACATCCACATGGCTGTTAAATCCCTCCAGCAATGGGGACTCCAGACAGGGCTGGACAACCCTTTTTGGGGAAGATTTTCCCAATATCCCCTGACCTCCCCTGGCCCAGCCTGAGGCCGTTCCCTCTGCTCCTGTCCCTGTTCCCTGGAGCACAGCCCGACACCCCCGGCTGTGCCCTGCTGGCAGGAGCTGTGCAGAGCCACAAGGGCCCCCTGAGCCTCCTTTGCTCCAGGCTCAGCCCCTTCCCAGCTCCTCTCCAGGCTGAGCCCCTTCCCAGCTCCTCTCCAGGCTCAGCCCCTTCCCAGCTCCCTCAGCCTCTGCCCTGGGCTGGGCCCTGCCTGGGAAGTGCTTTGGGGTGGGAGGTGCCAGCACCCGGCCGGGCAGAGTTTTCCAGGTGGTTCCACAAACAAAAGGTTCCCGTGTGTCCCTGTGGGAGGGACGCTGGTGCTGGGGGTTCCTGCAGAGCTGTGGCACGGTGGGGCATTCCATGGGGTGGGATTGTTGTTGTCCAGGTCCTGCACACTCACAGAGAGCAGTGGGGCAGGGATGGTGTCCCCCTGCCTGGTGACAGCCACTGCTGTCCCTTACCACCCCTTTCTCCAGGAGCCTGGAGGGGAATTGCTGCAGTTTTTTAAATGGAAAGATCAGGAAATGACAGTGCTCTGCAGGGAGGGGTGGTTCTGGAGGAAGGGAGGTTGGGTGACACCAAACAAGAGCCCTCCATGGAAATTTGGGCCCTTGATGCCTTGTGCAGACTCACCTAGAGCAGAGGCTGGACAGAGTTACAGAATAAAGCAGAGATTTATTAAAAGACCTCAATGGATCCACCTTGGGCAGCACAAGAGCCCAGCCAGGACCACACCCAAGATGAACCAAAATGGTCACAAAATGGTCATGAGCTCTCTCACTTTGATGAGTTCTGCTCCATTTGCATCTTGCAGTTCATTGTCCCATTCCAGCTTTAGCCCCTGCAGTCCCATCCTTGTTTTTCTCTCTCAGCCCATGGTGTTTGTGCTCTTGGGCTGAGATTTGGATCATTTGTCCTTGGTCCCCAGCTGGAGCAGGATTGGTTTGTCTCCCTGTTCTGTGCACAGAGCTCAGCATCTCCTCATATGAAGTCCAGACCCACACACTAAAGCAGCACAGAATCTGAAAAATAGAAAAGCAAAAACCTGAGGCATCACCCTCCATGGAAATTCGGGTCCTCCATGGAATCCTTTAGTTTGGAAAGACCTTTTGAGCTCCACACTTTTCCCCATTTCTCTCCCGCTTGGTCCCCTGCGGCAGAAGGACCTTCCCTTGGGAACTGGAGGTGAGAAAGTGAAATGCCAGAGATAAGGGAAGTGAAGGAAATGGCAGCCAGCACTCACCCCGCCCTGCTCCTGCCAAGTGGGGCCGTTCATGGCTCAGGAATGTGTGGCATCCCGAGCTGCCCGGGGCGAGCTGATTCCCAAGGGAACATGGCCCGTGCCAGCCCGGGTGCCAAGAGTGCCCAGGGCTGGGCTCCAAGGCTGTGCCGTGGTTCTCCCGTGGTTCTCCCGTGGTTCTCCCGAGGGAGGAACCAGCCCAGCCCCAGCAGGGAGGGGTTGGGGCTCTCCATGGGGATGGAGTGGAGCTGCAGCTCTCCCAGCCCCTTCCCTGCTGATGCCTCGGGGTAAAGAGGGAGGGCAGGCACCAGGGTCAGGGCCCAGGGAATGGCTAGAGCTGTGCCAGGTGGATATCAGGGAAAGGTTCCTTATCCAGAGGGTGCTGGACACTTACCAGGCTCCCCAGGGAATGGAGCTCCAGCAATGTTTAGTCAATCAGGTTGTTGGGGTGCCCTGTGCAGGACCAGGGGCTGGACTGGATGATCCTTGTGGATCCCTTCAATCCTTGGCATATCCCATGAGTCCACAAGCAGCTTTAGGCTTTGCCTGAGCCAGGGTTTCTTCTCCAGAGGGGCTTTGGAACTTCCTTTAACCAGGACAGGAGTTTGCAGCACCTCCATGTTTGACAAGGACAGCCATGTCATGGTTGACGCCCTTAGAGGTGTTTTCCACACGTGACAATTCTCTGGTTCTGCAGGATTCCCAGCAGGCTGTGTACACACAGCGCCCTGGCCCTGCCCTGCCCGGCCTCCCCGAGCTCCTTCCCGAGTGCCCAGGGTGGATTGGTGGCTGTCCCCTGCCTGGGTGACAGCCAGCTCAGCCATGTGTTGCCAGCAGGGCTCCCAGAGGTGCAAAGGCTCTGAGTGAGCTGCAAGCTCTGTGATCCTTTCCCTGGAACGGGCCAGGAAATCTCTTGGCTCCCACCCAGCTTTGTTAAGAGCCCTGAGGTGGCAGCAGGGCTGACTTTGGCCCATGGCACCATGGTGACACAGTTCAGGGCTGGAAGTGGCTCAGGGCGTGGGCTGAGCTCAGCTCCTGCTCCTGGAGTGCGCTCTGGGCTCTGCCAGGGAAACCTGGTCCTTTTCCAGCTGCTCTCCATGGGAATGAGGGCTGTGACACTTGGGGAACCACGCAGTGAAGGGCTGGAGCTCTGCACGAGAGCTTTAGTGCTGGGATCTGCAGCCACAGCGAACAGAACCTGAGTCACCCAGTGCCAGAGGATGGATTTCCTCGAGGATTGCTCCATCAGGGTGCTGGATGGTTGGGCCTGGATCCAGTGGGATGCCCCAGCAGGCAGGAACCACGAGGGGAAGGAGCCCAGAGGTTCTGGTAGCTTGGAGGAGCCAGGCTTGTAAAAACAGCTCTGTAAAACCAGAACTAACCCAAAGGTTAGGCCGGGGCTGAGTCACTGCCTAGGTGAGGCACGAAGGCAGGAACTGTTCCCTTTTCAGGCTCAGAACACGCTGAATTAGTGGCAACATCACAAAGAATTCTAGGCCCGAATTATTCCCAATTAATTAAAGATACTGTCCTAGAGTTCCTCAGTTCATTAAAGAGACTGCCCCAAAATAAAGCACTCCTCAGGCTGCTGAGTTTAAAGGAGACCAGAGCCAGCATGTCCTGGGCAGGCTGCAGATCCAATGTGCCTGAGGTGTGATCCTGGCTGGATTCATCCCATTCCTAGCGCTCACTCCTGCTGCTTGCGTGGCCAAAGCTTTGTACCCAAAGCTTGCTTCCCTTTATCAGGTTTGATTTCTGTCCTACCTGCATCCTCTCCTGGCTGCCCGGTGTTATCAGGGCGATAGGGAGGGGGGAAGTGGGGCAGAGGACGCTGATTCAGCCCTGGGGAGTCTGGCTGAGTCAGACCCGGAGCTAAATCACCTCAGCTCAGGTTCCTGGGCCGTCACCGCTGCTCCCTCCATTTCCTGCTGGAGGGACGTTGGTCTCCCCCCGCTGGCGGTCAGGGTCAGCGTTCCCAGCCTGTGTCCGTGTTTTTGCCGCAGGCACGCTCGGAGATGGACAAGTACCTGTCCAGTGAGGTGCCGCCCGTGCCCATGCTCCCGGACAAGAAGTACCGCCGGGAGAGCGCCTCGGTGGTGGACGAGTTCTTCTCCACGGAGAAACCCAGCTCGGCACCCTACAGTGTGAACATCAACGTCATCCTGCCCGACACCACCCACCTGCGCACGGGGCTCTACCGGCCCCCCAAGCCCGTGGCCCCCTTCCCGCAGATCAAATCCGAGCCCGGCACCGCCTTCTCCCAGCCCTGCTCGTCCTCCTCCGGCCCCACGCAGACCCTGCCCGACTTCACCAGCGTGTTCAGCATGCCCCAGTCGGTGGCGGTCAACAACATCTTCATCAAGCAGGAGATGCCCGCGGAGATCCCGCTGTCCGCCCACCCGCAGCAATCCCAGCTCTTCCAGCTGCCCCTGGGCGCCGCCAGCGCCGACGTTCCCACCCTGGCGTCCTCCTCCAGCAGCACCACGGCCATCAGCTGCCTCAGCGGGGTCACCATGTCCACGGGCTCGGTGGCCAGCGTGGCACACAGGCCCGTGCAGCCAGCGGGGCCCCTCAAGCAGTACCCACACGTGGCCCAGGGACAGGGCAGCTTTGGGAACATCTCCGGGCAGTTCTACCCCGCCCCAGGGGTGACTCTGCCCCCCTCGCCCCCCAACTCACAGCCCGGCAGCCCCGAGAACCAGCCCGAGCTCATCAACACCATCTCTCCCCCGCCCTCCTATGAGGCCACCTTTGGACTGAAGCTGGTGCAGTCGGCCCCGATGCCCCCAGGGCCCAACGGCGTCGGGGGCCTCTCCCAGGGCCACGTGGTGATGCAGCCCCCCAAGTACAACCGGCGCAACAACCCCGAGCTGGAGAAGAGGAGGATCCACCACTGTGACTACCCAGGTGTGCTCACGGGGCCTCTGGGGGCTCTTGGCACCCCAAGGGTGGGTGGGAGCCTCCAGGGAGGATAACCTGAGATCCTTTTGGGGTGAAGCTGTGGATGCAGCCCCAGGGAAGTGGGAGGGAGTAGAAGAGGTTGATCCCACCAGCACGGTGTGCTTCCTGTTGTGTCCCCTTCCCTCTCCCTTTCCACTCAGGCAAATGCGACTCAGCAAAGCTCCTAAGGCAGGGATGCTCCTGGGAATCTGCTCCTGGGAATCTGCAGTTGGGAATCTGCAGTTGGGAATCTGCTCCTGGGAATCTGTACTTGGGAATCTGCTCCTGGGAATCTGCTCCTGGGAATCTGCACTTGGGAATCTGTTCCTGGGAATCTGCTCCTGGGAATCTGCTCCTGAGCTGTTGCTTCACTCTGGTCCTTCCCAACCCCAAGCAGCCACTGAAGCCACTCTGCCATTCCCATTCCCCCTTCCTTTCCCTCTCTCTCACATTGGGTGGAAAACCAGCAAGGAATTCCCACCAGGAGCTCTGCTGGACTCTCTGAGAGTTCTGATCTTCTAAAGAGGCAATGAACTGAACATCCCTGTGCCATCCTTCCATGGCTCCACGTGCTGCAGCAGGAGCTGCGCAAGGGCATTCATGGAGTGCTTTGGGTTGGAAGGGATGTTTAAAGGCCATGTCATCCCACCTCCTGCCATGGACAGGGACACCTTCCTCTCCCAGCTTGCTCCAAGCTCTCAATCTGGGATCAGCCCAGAGCAGCTGTGTCTGCCCCTGGATCCCTGGAAGTTGCCAGGCTGGACAGAGCTTGGAGCAGCCTGGGACAGTGGGAGGTGTCCCTGCCCATGGCAGGGGGTGGAACTTGGATGAGCTTTGCTTCCAATCCAAACCAGTCTGGGATTCCATGGCACACACCAGGGAAGCAAATCCCATTGAGAGATGGCAGTGAGAGCCACTCCGGGGCCAGGACACACCTCCCACTTCCTGGGCTGATCCCCAGGGCTGAGCAGCTGTGGATTAGCAAACAGCTTTCCCGTGGGGGTGTGTGAATGAGCAAAGTCACTTCCTAACTGCCTCAGGGAGATTTACTGACCCTTTTCCTGGCATGGGAGTGGCTGAGGCCATCCCAGAGGCTCTGCCTGCTCCAGATCCCATCTCCAGCCTTGATGCCAGGAGCTGCCTAAGAACAGGAGAGGTTGAGAGAGATCTTTCTGTGCTTACACCTTCCCACTCCCTGGCACCCTGTGGATCAGGGGCTTTCTGAGCCACAGGCTGCCAGTGGTTGATGGTTTGTGCTGAATTTTTTATCTTCTGCTGGTATCAGACACACTCCTCGTGTCTGACTGCTCAGAGGCTCATCCTGCAGGATTTGCACCAAGGCAAAGCTGCTTTTAGCAGGATTTTGGTCTGTGGCGCAAAAAAAAAAACCAACCCAAAAAAACCCACCCCAATCTATGCTGAATAAATCCTGGGTCTGTACATGCAGAGATGGAGCAGGGGTCCATGTGATCCCTCCCTTGAAGGTTCAGATGGAAGTGACTCCAGTCAGGAATAATGGTGAGGGATTCTCACCAACCTGGCCTCTGTGAGGAAGTGAGGGGGGCTTGGAGACTTCACACCTGGAACCAGATGAACATGGGAGAGCTGTTGGTAAAGCCCCCATCCAGAACCTTCCAGGGCCTGAAGGGGCTCCAGGAGAGCTGCAGGGGGACTGGGGACAAGGGATGGAGGGACAGGACAGAGGGAATGGCTCCCACTGCCAGAGGGCAGGGATGGATGGGATATTGGGAATTGGGAATTGTTCCCTGGCAGGGTGGGCAGGCCCTGGCACAGGTGCCCAGAGCAGCTGTGGCTGCCCCTGGATCCCTGGCAGTGCCCAAGGCCAGGCTGGACATTGGGGCTGGAGCAGCCTGGGACAGTGGGAGGTGTCCCTGCCATGGAATGGGAAGAGCTTTGAGCTCCCTCCCAACCCAAACCATTCCTTCATTCCATGATCTCTCTCCCAAATGTGAGGAGCTGCCAAAGCTTCAGAGCCCCAGAAGCAAAACTGAACAGGGTCACCACCCCTTGTCCCTCCTGCCAAGGAGGAGAAAAGCAGCTCCTGCCCCACCTGAGCAGGACAGGACCAAGGCCTGATCCTGAGCAGGAGGCTCCTCTGGGCTGGCTGGAAACACTGGGATGAAAAATATCCCTGTGCTGCTTGTGCAGGTCATAAAAATGCAAATTCATATTTGAATGTCCTCATCAAAACACAAAGCAGCAGGGCCAGAAAGGGCAGCAGAGGCTTCCTTAAGCTTTATCCAATTTAAACTTCAGAGGAGTCAAACTGACTCCTTTTGAGTTACCTGCTGTTGGAACTGTTCCCCAGTCGTGGTGTTTCTGTTAAACACTGTCTTGATGAAACCTGTTCATGCTGGTCTTGTGAAAACACTTCCCCCTGGCTCTGCTCTGGGACCTGGAAGCCAAGTTGTGACTGTCCCTGGCTGTTACCTTCCTGGAACATTGGTACCACGTCTGCTGGGCCAGGACTGTTACAAAACCCGGCCTTGCAAAGTCCTGTCAGCTCTGAGAGGAGCCCAGAGAGACAGGGCAGCACAGAGCCAGGAGCGTGGGGGAATCAGGGCTTTTCATCCGGGTGCTGGAAGGGGGGCTTGAACCTCTGTGCTTGACTGTGCCCCCCTAATTCCCAGCACAATTCCCATGGGTGGCAGGAGGAGGTGGTAAAGCCTCTCTGCCTAAGAGCAAACGCTCCTTAGTGCTGAGCCCAAGCCAGGCTTATTTGCATGGCCCAGCTCTGTCCCTCCCCTCAAATATCAGAGTTTGTTTGAGTAAGGGCCCCTTTCTCACAGGGAAATTGTGCTTTTTTCTGTCCTTGCAGGTTGCTCAAAGGTTTACACCAAGAGCTCCCACCTGAAGGCACATCAGAGGACTCACACAGGTAAGAGCAGCTCCAGGAATGATGCCAGCCTCAGGTACCAAAACCCCCAAAAAGGGAAAGGTTAGAGTGGACATCAGGAAGGAATTCCTGGCTGGAAGGGTGGTGAGCCCTGGCACAGGTGCCCAGAGCAGCTGTGGCTGCCCCTGGATCCCTGGCAGTGCCCAAGGCCAGGCTGGACATTGGGGCTTGGAGCAGCCTGGGACAGTGGAAGTTACCATGGTGCAAGATGGGCTTTAAGGTTCCTCCCAACCTGATCTGTTCCTTGAATCCTTGACTTTTTGTCACTCTGAGCTCTTCCCTTGATTCCCAAATCCTGCCTGGGGCTGATCCTGCTGATCCTACAGGAAGGCTGCATAAGGCCTGTGCTGCACATTTAGGATCTCTGAGGAGACCAGGGCATCTCTTCTGTGTCAAACCCCCACCCCAGGGCTCCCAGGGAGAGGGAGGAACCCCTCGTGTCTCCCTGAGTTCCACTGCCTCTGAACCCACCCAGGGAAGGGCTCCCAGTCCATGAGGGGATGGGCTGAGGGTGCCACAGGGAGCCCAGCTGGGAGCAGCTCCCAGCACAGCTCCCCTGGGCTGATCCAGCTCCGTGACACTCTGCATTCAAGCCCTGGCGCCCTCATTAAGGCATTTATTATACCTGAAACATTATCAGATCCCCAGGTAGTCCAGGAACCATCAGTGCCCTCATAAATCTCTTTTATAGGAGGGCTGATCTTTACTGAGAGCAATTAAGCCAGGCCCAGAGTTCACTTCTGTTTTTTATGAACAACGACCAAAGCCCGTTCTGTGGCTGGGAATTGCTCCTTGCTCTTGGCTCTGTTCCTTCCCCCCCTTATCAGCCCTTCAAACAAAGAATTTCATCTTGTGCCTGAGCCACGGTGGTTCTTTGGCAGGGGCTGGGCACGAGGGGCTGAAAACAGCACGGAAGGGCTGGAAAAAAAGGAACAGGAAGGATGTTGTCCCAGAGCTGGGTGCTGATAGGGGTTTATCACAGTCTGGAATCAGGCCTTTAAAATGAAATGCAATGAAATTAAATTAAATATCTCTTGTCCCTTTTGTTGGGAGCTCTGTGCCCAGGACAGGAGCCATGAGTTGGGTGCCTCCTTACCTATCACATATAAAGATGTACCCAGGAAAACCTGAGTGGGTTTGAAATCCAGGAAAACTCAGTGGTTTTCCAGGTTTCCCAGTAATCAGGCAGGAAATCCAAGTGGCTTTGCCTTCTTTCCTCTCCCTGCTGTTAAAGGGAAGGGTGGAGAGGTGAGGGAGGGTGTGAGCTGAGGAGTCAGGACCACTGGTGGTGGCGTGGGATGAGCAAAAAGCAGGGAATCCAATCCAGAACCATCCTACAGTCCTGGCCCAGCATCTCTGCATCCAATGTTTTTAAGCCTTGTGTTTTGCTTTGGAGGCCTTATCCTTGCTGAGGTCCTCACCAGAGCTGCAAGAGCAAGGCTCACCCCAAATCCTGCCTCAGCTCCACCACCCAAAGTGTTAAAAATATCCCTTCTCCCATTCCCTGCCTGACAAGTGCCTGCTCTGGGAGCTCTTTCCTTGTGGTTTCGTTGCCATGGCCAGGCTGTTTTCCTCTGCTGGAGCCACCATTCATTTCCTGGGTGCCATTGTGAGGTTAAACATAAACCCCCGGGGCGGGAATGCCACCTCGGATCCTTTGTTTGAGCCCGCCCTGCCGTGCTGTCCCGGGAGAGGCAGCCAGCTCCAGGGACAATGGGATACCCGGGACAATGGGAAACCTTGGGATTCCATCCTGGACATCCACCTGGCATTGTTTGAAAGCAAAGGGCTTGACCCAGCCCGGCGACCTGCAGGGGACAAGGTCTGGGCTGCAAGGGGCAAATCCTGCCTTTGGGAAATTCTGCTTTGGGGAAAATCCTGCCTTTGGGAAAATTCTGCTATTTTGGGGCAAATCCTGCCTTTGGGAAAATCCTGCCTTTGGGAAAATTTGCTATTTTGGGGAAAATCCTGCCTTTGGGAAAATCCTGCTTTGGGGCAAATCCTAACTTTGGGAAAATCTTGCCTTTGGGGAAATCCTGCTTTTGGGAAAATCCTACTTTGGGGAAAATCCTGCTTTTGGGTAAATCTTACCTTGAGGCAAATTCTGCCTTTGGGGAAATCGTACCTTTGGAAAAATCCTGCATTGGAGCAAATCCTAACTTTGGAGAAATCCTGCCTTTGGGAAAATCCTGCTTTAGGGAAAATCCTACCTTTGGGCAAATCCAAACTTTGGGAAAATCCTGCCTTTGGGAAAATCCCTCTTTTGGGAAAATCCTCTCTTGGGGCAAATCCTGCTTTTGGGCAAATCCTGCCTTTGGGAAAATCTTACCTTTGTCTTGGCATATCCTGAGTCCCATAAAACCCCCACCAACTCCTTGTAAATCCTCTGCAAGTGCTGTGTTCACATGAGCCATAAAAATCCCTCTCCCTTTCCCATGGAGCAGCATCCAGGGGTTTTTGGAGGAGCAGGATGTGTTCATGCTGCTCTACCTCCTCCAGGTCCATGTATCCATGGTTTTGTGTTTTATCCACTGCAGGCAAGGCATTGGAGACCTTGCTGTGGTTGATTTCACTTCCCTGGCCAAACGTGGCATTCCCAGCCCTGGAATTGTTCAAGGCCAGGTTGGATAGGACTTGGATCTAGTGGAAGGGGGAATGTGGTCTAGTAGAACCTGGTCTGGGGAAGATGGGCTTTAAGGTCCCTTCCAAGAAAAGGCATTCCAGGATTCCCTGGCTCTGTGGGAGCATGGAGAGGAAGGAATCCCTAGAAGTCACTGTAGGAATCCCTGGAAGTTGGTGGAACCTGGTCTGGGCAGGGTGGAACACGAAGGGCTTTACGTCCTCTCCAAGCTGAGGCTGTTCCAGGATTCCCTGGTTCCATGGAGCAGGCTGTGGGAGGAAGGGCTCCCTGGAAGGCTGGGGAGGAAGGAATCCCTGGAAGCACGGCAGGGCAGGGCACACATGCCCGTGCACGCGTGCTGCGTGCGGACGTGCGCTCCCGCCGCCGCTGCGCCCAGCACTTGGCCCCGGGAAGGGTAAATATTTGAGGTCGGGAATGTCAGCACATTCCCTGAACTCTGCCTGCCTGTTCAGGCTGTTAAGAGCAGCACTAATATTTGAGAGCACCACGCCCTGCGTGGGGACACGGCTGCAGCCAGGGCTCAGCCCCGTGGCCCGGCTGGAAGCGGCCGCGGCTTTTCCGGCGCAGTTCCCAGCTGGCTGGGAAGGTTCGTGCTTGAGTGGATTTCGGTTGGGATTGGGTGTGTTTGGGAGGGAGGAGGAGAGGGCACGGGGATGACATCACCTGAATGTGCTGAGGGAAACACAATGGGTTGTGTACAGAGCTGCTGGCAGAAGAATTAGGAGGTGTGGAGCATTAGGTAATGGAATCCTGGAATGGTTCGGCTTTGGGAAGGGTCTTTAAAGGCTGTCTGATCCTTTAGGGACATTTTCTACTAAACCAGGTTCCTCCAAACCCCATCCAACCTGGCCTTGAGCACTTCCAGGGATTGGGCAGCCATCAACATTGGATGGCGGTTTCAAAAAAATTTAGATTTTTCGGATTGAAATTTAGATTTAGAGCCCTGTCTTCCTCCTGGTGCCTCCCACCACTCACAGCTCCCTTAGGAATTTCTGGCTTTTTATTTAAAAAAAACCAACCTAATTCACAAGTTGTCTTTTTTGCCAGAAATGCTCCAAAATCCAGCAGGAACTTGAAGAGCACCAGAAGGCAAAGTGGGAGGGGGTGCAGAGGGGCAGGACCTGGCTGGTGCAGCTCAGTCCCTCGGTGGCGCTGGGCTGTGTGCAGCCCTGGCAGTGCCAAGGAAATTGGGTGTCTCCCAGAGGCTTGGGGGCGTTTTTGGGAGGCTGGGCAGGGGGTGGACAGGGACAAGCCCTGTGTGGTGCAGCTCAACCCGTGCTCCCTCAGCAGCCCTGGGCTGTGCACGCTGGGGAGCCCTGGCAGTGCCACTGACGGGGGGATCTCCAGAGGCCAGGGCGGGTTTTGGGGGGCTGGGCACATGTGTGACCTGTGGCTGTCCCCGGGCAGGTGAGAAGCCCTACAAGTGCACGTGGGAGGGCTGTGACTGGCGCTTCGCCCGCTCGGACGAGCTCACCCGGCACTACCGCAAGCACACGGGGGCCAAGCCCTTCAAGTGCCTGGCGTGCGGCCGCTGCTTCTCCCGCTCCGACCACCTGGCCCTGCACATGAAGAGGCACCAGAATTAGGAGCTGCCTCCCTTCCCACTTCTCCGAGAGCAGCTCAAACTCTTCCCTTCTCCCAGGGAAGGACGTGTACATAGGAACGGCCCCGCGCCGCCATCGCCCAGGCGGCAGGAGAGCCCTGCCAGCCTGGCCCCGACGCTGTCTGGTCTTACCAGAGACTGGAACCCCTCAGCTCACCTCAAACCTGCCCTGACCGCAGACTGAGCTCCTGATGAGGCTCCTGGTGGCACTGGGGTGCAGGAGCATGGATGCCCAAGGGTGTTCTGGCAATCCTGCTATCTATTCATCACTCAGGAGTGATTTCTTGTCTCAAGACCCTTTGGGATGGGTTTTACCCCTTTGGTGAGGCCCAGGAGGATGTGACAGCTTGGCTGTGACAGCTCTCACTTGGACTCTCTAGGACAGCCCCATGGCATAGCCATGGATGTGACACTGTGTGACCATGGACGAGGCACCTTGTCCCATGGTGTGACCATGGGTGTGGCACTGGTGCCATGGTGTGACCATGGATATGACACTGTCCCATGGCCTGGCTGTGGATGTGGCCCTGTCCCCCATGGTGTGACCATGGATGTGGCACCAGTGCCATGCCAGAACAGGAGCCGTGCCCAGGACTGTTGGCTGTGACAATCCCAGTCTCTGTGGGAGCACAGAAGAACAGACCTGTGACAAACTCACCCTTCAAACAAGGGGCAGCACAAAAGCAGGTGACAAAGTGTCACCTATGTCCCACTGAGCCCATTCCTGGCAGCCAGCTTGGGACTGTGAGCACCTGCCCTGCCTGGCCAGGATTTTATGGCTGTGTCCTTAGCATTTCTGCTTCCAAGAGGAATTTAAACTTCGGGTGTCTCTGGGAGGACCAGCGTAGGTTTGAAGCCACCCGGGGGACAGCGGAAGAGCCACTGTTGAGGTCTGGTGTCCCAGAATCCACCAGTGCTGCCCTTCTCCAAAATTTCACAAGGACTTGGTGGCTGCTGGTCCCACCAGGCCTGTGCTGTTGCCATTCCAGCAGATGGGAAAAAAAAACAGGGAAAAAAGCATCTTGGAAACAAATTCCAATAAATCCTGCTGTTCAGAGTGGAATCACATGACTACCTCACAGGTTCACCTCCTCTGGCTCCCTAAGCTCCTTCTCCCATCCCATGGGATGAACATCCATGTTCTCCAAAGCCTTCTAGGGGTTAAATTTGGGCACAACAAGAGCCAGTTCCAAGACCAGCTGTGAGCTTTGTAAATGAATCAGGACCAAATAATGGGTTTGCTGTGTCCAGCAGAACATTGATTTGTTCCCCACCCTCCTCCTCCTCTCTTGTTTCTCCATGGATAAATTCGGGTGACTCATGGATTGATGTGTGGGATGAGGGGCCAGGCTGGACCATGGCATGGTCAGCTGGAATTTGGAGGCCACTCCTCTCTGCTGCTGCCAGAGCCACTGCTGGGTTCCTGCTTGGCCTTTTCCTTGGATAAACAGGAGCAATCCCATGGGTCTGTTTGACAGCAGAGGAGGGCAGGAAGGATTTGGGGTCTGTGGTGTGTGTTGGCTTTGGGATGGATGCTGCTCCAGCTCTGTGGTGACTCCTCCCTGTGGCTCCTCAGCCAGGGAGGGTGGGAATGCAGGGGGGAAAGGCCATGGAATTGCTGCATGGCTTTCCCAACAGTGGGAACAGTTTTCCAGCCCTCAGCAGCAACCTCCACGCTCCAAGATGGCTTTTTGGGGCATCTCTTGTGGTTGGACCTCCCCAGTGCAGGAGCCAAACCCCAGGGCACAGGGTCCCCACGTGTGTCACCATCAGCCCCACCCGTGGCCCTCTCAGAGGGGTCTCTTCACCCCCTCTGCCTTTGGCCAAGGAAATCTCCTCTTCCCATCCCTAAGTCCCCTCCTTCCCCACCCTGCGATGCTGATGGAGCCCAAAACCAGTTTGCTAAAACCCAGTACAAAGCCAAACCCACCAACAGGCAGCTTGAAATCAGAGGGGAGTTGGACATAATTTTCCTGCTAATCTTGGGAATCTTTTCCCCTACAGCCTGTGCTTGTCCTCCCCTGGACTCTGTGTGTGTAAATATATAAATATATAAATATTATTTTTTTTCTATCTGATAAGGGGCAGAAGTGTTTTCGCACCCAGGCACTGCTCTGTATGCAAACTCCTCACATGCAAATCCTTCTCTATGCAACAATTTTTTGTTTTTAAAAATGAGAACCACGACAAATCCTCAGCTCTTGTTCCTTTATTTTTCTATGGACAGAGTGGACAGCTCTGGGTTTGTATTAATGCCAAGGGCAGCTGTTTTTGAGGAGAAAGCTGGGGAAAGGGAGTGGTGGAGCCACGTGGCTGGGGCCACGTGACACTCGTGACAAATGAAGGTCCCTCCATCCCCAGTCCCATGGGACATTTTGGAAATGTCCACCACTTTGCAAGGAGTGGAGCAAATGCTGGAATGTGGGTGCCTCATCTCTGTTTGATAACGGGGAGAAAATCGCTGTAAATAGGCCAAAAATGCTGTGTGACTTCATGGGTTCTCCCAGGTGATCCTTTATTATCCAAGATGAACACAATGGGGAAGAAATTGGGACCTGGAAAATGTGGGGGGGAAGATTTCTTTTCCTGGGATGCTGTGTTGGTTACAGAACCCCTCTTCCCCACCAAACTCCTCCAGGAATGTTGATCCATCTCCTATTTTGTAATAAAATTGTATCACCTGCAGACCTGGTCTGGCTTCTGGTCCTTCCTGCTCCAGGAGCTTTTCTTGCCTTCATCCCTGGCCTTTCCAGGCATAAGGAAAGGGGGAATAATGTTTTTTTATTGGGGAAATGGGTGTCCAGGCAGGGAAGGGTCCATGGACGGTGTGAGTCTGGAGCTGTACCTGTCCCAGTGCCATGCGAAGGGACAGGGGGGCACAACCCTTGTTTTTGATTCCCTCACCTTTATGTGCTCCCATTCTTTATCCTGAGAAGGGAAATGGGGCATCCACAGATCCTGGAAGGAGCTGGAGCAGAGCCAGGAGGGGAAGAGGGACAAGCCAGGGACAAAAAGCACCTGAACATTCCATGACCCCCTCCTGTCCTTGGGGACACTGCTGTGCCCCGGGCTGTTCCTGGAGAAGTCACAGGACAGCGAATATCAGAGATGTCAGGGAGGTTTAGAGGGTGGCTGATTGCTTGAGAGCCTGAAGTGTCCTCCCAAACCCCAGAGAGGGCCCCATGCAGAGGTGTCACACCTGGCTGGGGTCCCTCTGGGCCAGCTCCTCCCTGGAACCTCCTGTTTGAGCAGTGCCAAACCTGGGACAGGGCTCAGATGGAAGTTCAGGCTCACCCCTCAGCGGGGTCCCAGCAGAGCAGGATCCCAAAAGCCCTGCTCCCTTTCCCACCCCATGGCTGTCCCTCCCTGCAGCGTCCCCCTGTCACCGTCCCCTTCCCGGCCTTGTTTGTGTGATGGTGAAGCAAGGGCTGTAAAGGCTGGGCTGTGCACAGACTGTTCCTGCTGGGCTGTTAAAGCTCCAGGAATGCCAAGATCCCACTGGTCAAGGACAGGAAGGGGAGCAGGAGGGAGAGGGAGGGGTAAAATCCTGGGGGAAGCCTGGAGGAGGCCACACGGTGTCACAAGGCACGGCCAGGAGGGGACAGCACCAACGGGAGACTCCTCCCGGCTTTCTTCTTGGAATGCAGAAGGAATCCATGCTGATGGCACCACACTGTGCCCAGGACCTGGAAAACACAAGGAAGGAGGGTGGGGATGGGAAAGCCCCTGGGGGAGGCTCTGCCCTTCCTCTGCTCCCCGGGTGATCCCAGAGGGAGAAGCTGGAAGGTCCCAGGGACAGCCAAGTTCCTGCTCAGTGCCACCCTGTGCCCAAGGTCTGCTGGGACGTGGGGGGACAAAACCCAGCCCAGCGTCCCTGGGGATCTGGAAGGGCCCTGGAGATGCCCCTCCAGCCTGGCAGTGACTTTGAGGGTGGCTTTAATTTTGAACTTTGCTGTCCCGACATCTCCCCCGGCAGATGTGGGCTGTTCTGTTTGATGTGCCTGGGCTGTAAAGTTATTTATTGACTCGGGAAAACACAATTACAGCGGGAAGGAGCGGCCGGGCGGGTTCTCGGCAGAGGATGGTGGCATCGGGACACGCGTGTGGCTGCGGCAAAGCCACCCCGGGCTGCCACCTGCGGGACAAATCCTGGCTCCCAACATCCGCCGGGAAGCCCCGGGAGAGCTCCAGCAGGGTGGATTTTGGGGAAGGTGGCACAGAATGTTCCGTGACAGCGGCCACGAGCGCTGCCCTTCAAACCCTGCCCTTATCTCCCGTATCCCGAGGACCATCAACCCTCGAGCCTCCCGCTGCAGCCGAGCCATTAAAGTTAACGATTACCCAAAGCGAGTGTTTATTTGGGATAATCCAGGCCCGGGGGAAAGTGAGGGACGGGGGCAGGAGGGCTCTCGGCTCTTTTCTGCGAGATAGGGCCCGTCCTGCGGCGCTCAAGTGGTGCTTGAACAAGATGAATGCTCAAATAACACACGGCAAACAGCGCGGCCCGGAGAGCTCCGGGACACTCGGCATTCCCATTCCATGGGGACAGTCAGCATTCCCATTCCATGGGAACACCCGGCATTCCTGTTCCTTGGCGACAGTCAGCATTCCCATTCCTTAGGGAGTCAGCATTCCCATTCCATGGGGACACCCAGCATTTCCAGCCCATGGGGACACTCAGCATTCCCATTCCACAGGGACACTTGGCATTCCCATTTTTTGGGGACACTCAGCATTCCCATTCCATGGGGACACCCGGCATTCCCATTCCATGGGGACGGTCAGCATTCCCATTCCATGGGAACACCCGGCATTCCTGTTCCTTGGGGGACACTCGTCATTCCCATTCCTTAGGGAGTCAGCATTCCCATTCCATGGGGACACTCAGCATTCCCATTCCACGGGGACACTCGGCATTCCTATTTTTTGGGGACACTCAGCATTCCCATTCCATGGGGACATTGAGCATTCCCATTCCTTGGG